TAGGTATATGTTTGAATTATATATGTTTTAAGAAAATTGACGACAACATATAATTTTAAAAATAGTCATTCATTTTTTGTAATATAAATTTGATTCAAACATATAACTATCGATATCCGTTCATATTGATTTTTTATATATAAATATTCTACTCAACGAGTTCTAAAAAATGAACAGTAAAGTCGGTCGCAAAATGAACCTACCAAATCCAAACGCTCTCTTAAGTTGATGTGTCCAACCTGAGAGAAACTCAATCCTTCACAAAATATTCTTCAATAAAAATATGAACCAATCATATATTATTATTAAGGTTTGATTTCTCTAATGGCCAATATGAGAGAAACTTAACCTTGTTATTAAATCATTGTTTAAACATCCATTGTCAACAAATCAGATTGTCAATAAACCATTGTGAAGCACTGTCAATAATGAGACAAGGACCTACCAAATCCAAGCGCTCTCTTAAGTTGATGTGTCCAACCTGAGAGAAACTCAATCCTTCACAAAAATATTCTTTAATAAAAATATGAACCAATCATATATTATTATTAAGGTTTGATTTCTCTAATGGCCAATATGAGAGAAACTTAACCTTGTTATTAAATCATTGTTTAAACATCCATTGTCAACAAATCAGATTGTCAATAAACCATTGTGAAGCACTGTCAATAATGAGACAAGGAAGTCGACCTAGGATTATGAAATTACTCAAAAATTAGATTTAATATAAATATTATATGGGGTTGTGATAGAATACTTCAAGGTCTATGATAACTAATAAACAGTCCAATTCTATTTCAAATCAGAGTCATTACTACAAAAACAATGATCAAATTGTTGAATATGACTCACCTATTTAAGAATTGAGACCGAACTATATATTAAAAATATCAACACAAGCATAGATATTTTTGCAAAGAGTGATAGTAGTGAGATTTCTTGAGCCAATAGGAGGTAACTAGATGATTAGGTTATGTCCCAATGGCAGACCTCTCAAGGATTCATCAATTCTGAAATCACTTCATGAGAAAGTTTGTCGTGTAAGGCACTTGGGATTTGTTTGGATAGATGTGAATTTGACATTAAGGAATTTAATTTTACTCATTTAATAACAAAAACTTAAATTTTAAATATGATAATTTACTTATGAATTTTATTATGGATGGACTTAAAATCCATCTAAAAAGAACTAGTTATTTGAAACAATACTCAAAAAAATTACTATGAAATTTACCTTTGAAAGTGATGAATGGTCAATTTGATTTTTTGTATAATAGGATTTACATTTGAAATGAATCTCTACCATATAATGTGTTTTCTAAATATTTTCTAAATCTTATGAGTCCCTAACATCAATGTATTTGAAATCATTAAGAATTCTCTTTCTAACCATAAGAATTTCACTAAAATTTATATTTATATTTTTTATCTAAACTCATCTGATTCTATTATTCTTCTATCCATTCATTGATTTGAAATCTATAACATGACTATTCAAGCGGACCCTTACATCAGGTGTTGCATAAAAGCTTCAATAATTACATAAGCCTATCTGGTTAAGACTTTAACTTTCATATTAGTGAGTGATTATTTGGTGATCCTGAAACATTACTCCACTACACCATTTTTTTTTTTTTTTGATCGGCAAAGAAAATTTTCATTAAAAACATGAAATTTAAAAGTACAAGGAAATAAAACACATTGAGAGAGATTCGAAGGGTAAAGACTCACTCTCCTACTACTGCTACTCACATTCTTACAACCAACCTCTTAGTCTTACGATTTTATATTTTAAAAAATAATTAAAAAAACAAACCAAACTATTGAGCCCCACACCTAAAACACTGTTACACTTAGGGGTGTGCGCGGTGCGGTTCAGGCAGTTTGAGAGTAAAATTACAAATCGAATGACGGGTTAGCAAATTAACGGATTAAAAAATTACGATTTGGACGGTTTTTGACGGATTGGCGGATTGAAGAATATTTTTAACTAATTATCATGCATTTGCATAATATATAACACTAATTTGTATAATATTTTTTAAATATATAACACAAAGTAATTTTACATAATATATTTCATATATACAACTACTAATTCATATATATAACCACTAATTTGTAATAAATTTTATATCTTAAATCTCTCTCACACTCATTTTTACATTGATATTTCATTGGAAGTTAAAAAAAATATATATGTATTAACTATAGCAAAGCGGAGCGGTTCGGTTAGCGGATTATAAATTTAAAATTTTAAACCGCGGTTAGCAGTTAGAGCGGTGCGGATTGATGCTGATCGGTGCGGTTTTAGCGAATTTGGCGATATTTTGCACAGTCCTAGTTACACTGATGCATTGATAAACCCCACGTCTGACTCAAACACTGTTACACTCTTGAGCCCCACGCCTGTCCCGAACACCCTGCACCATTGACGGACACTCAACCTCCATCATCGTCGGACACTCAGGCTCCACTGCCGTCGAGAACCACCATAATCGCCGGACACTCAACCTCCATAAACACCCTGCTGCTGCAGCCTCCTCCTTTAGTTCTTCAGCAGGTCACCACGCTTGTAACCTACAAAACCCAATTTTCCATCTTAAACTTCTCCCACAGTTTTCCTCGCCCAAACAACTCCCTCGATTGATCCTCACCAACAACGCTGAGCAGTCCCCTCTTTGATCGGAATTCACCCCTCAAACTCCCACTCGCACAGGAGCCCCCGAATGGAGCTCCTAAACAACTCTGGATCCTCTACCCCTCAAACTCTCGCTCGCAAAGAAGTGCCCGAATGAAGTTCCTGAACCAACCCACCCACGTTCAACACACCCATCCTAAACCGAAACCCATTGCTGAAGCTGAACACCATGGCCGAAGCACCACTTCCACCGAACCTTTCCATTCGAGAAAAAAAAAACCCACAAAAACCACCCATCAAAGCTTCCATGAGCGCCAAAACCCACAGAGTGTAGACCCAGCAAACTTTCAGACTGCCAGATATGATAGATCTAAAGCCAACCAAGGAACACTAGTTAAGTTATTCCCTACAAACCTAATAAAATATATTAGGTCCCACAATTTTAACCAATAAATAATAGGAGAGATTACATCTCAATGTAACTTTAAAAAAATAATTACACATACATGATAAAATTTATAATTTTAATTATCACTAATTTATAATTATTTTTTGAAAATGCCTTTAATTTGATATTTTTCCCAAATAATAAATTGGAACACCATATATTATGAATTTGCATTCAGATCCTCTATCTAGAGTGATTCTGTGGAGTGATCATCTAGTGTGATCCTTTATGGTGCGGCACATGTCCTAATAAAATCAATGACTAAGATGAACCCTCACCAAAACGAAGTTGTTTTGTTGAGCCAGACAGACCTAAAAAAAAATTTGCAGAAACACGAACATAAGAGAGGAGGGATTGAGGAAGAAGGAAGTTTTGAGGAAAAACAAAGCAAAAAAATTCTTCGTTTTTACAGATTGAACACCAGAGATAAGGGGCTGTGAAGTAACTTCAACAGATGTTCTTTCTTATATTAACCTCAACATCACCAATTCACCCATTTTCTTCATCATCATTATGGCCTCGTTTGGGAACAGGCTATTTTAGTAACTTTTTGACTTTTTACGAAAAAATGTGCAAAAAGTAGAGAGAAAATGAAATCTTTGACTTTTTGGTATAAGTTATAGGCTTTTTGATTTTTTAATAACTTTTTGACTTTTAGGCTAAAACAGCTACTTGCCAAACAAGGCTTAAAACCCATCAAAAACTTTCAAATCAACAGTCATTCAGCGTCATTACCTCATAAATTCATGTGGGTTTGCTTCCAAAAAAGCTCTCTCAGCACCAAGGTAGGTCATGTCAAACCTTCACCAACGCACAATCTCTGTGTCTTTTAAATCCACTCATTTTCTTCTTCATCTCTCAAATCCATCAAAAACTCTACGAAATCTTTATATCCTTGAAGCTCTTAAAGAATAGCTTTTAGCTTCTTCTTAGCCCTTCATCTCTCTCTCTCTCTCTCTCTCTCTCTCTCTCTCTCTCTCTCGTGTTCGATGTGCAAACTCCGCAAATTTCTTTTTCTTTTTTTTATTTTTGGTCTGGATCACCAAAATGACATCGTTTTGTCAAGGGATCATCTCCGCCATTGATTCCCTTAATGGGACACGTGTCACACCATAAAAAATCTCTCTAGAGAATCACTTCACAAGATCACTCTAGAGAATCCGGATGCTATGAATTTACCCAAGACCACCACATAATTTTTCCATTATACTCCTTTGGAAACTCCTATAAAAGCAAAGTTTATTTGGCTTTAACAGTCATTTTAACATGTGCTTTAATAGTCATTTTATCATATGACGCAACATCAAAGGACTGAAAGAAAACAAAAAAAAACTTAAAACAAATTTTATGGGAACCAAAAAGTCAAAAAAAATACACTTACACTTTTAACTTTAAAAAACAAAAACAAAAACAAAAACAAAAAAAATTCATCAAACAAAGACTTTGATCATTACAAAAACCCAAAAAGTCAAAAAATGCCAAACAATATGATTTTTGTTTGTTGACTTATAAACTACAACTGCCAAAGGAGTCCGAATCTTTTGACTTGTGAACTACTACTGCCAAAGGAGTCCGATCTTTCCATGTACTAGGATTTTTCTAAGGGAAAATTACTAATCAGTAGAAGTTTTAAAAATTTATTACAAATTCATAATAAATAAATTATATTTTCAATTATTAATATTTATAAAATTTATCATTTATTTATAATTATTTTTCAATATCTCCACTGCAATGAAATTTCCCCTTTTCTAATTGAAGTTACTTGAGCATACCAAACCAAGACCTCATTAATGGTAAATCACAACCGTTACATTGTTCATTTCCTTCTTGTGCCTTAATTTAGACGATAAACTTGCAAATATCATTTCATGCAAAGGTCTTGCTAATGACTGTCCATCTGAGTGTTCGTTAAGAACTAAATAACATCAAAAAAAATTAAAATTAAAACTCCAATACATATTTCACATATTTTAATGAACTTTTTACACATACAATATTAACAACTGCCTAGCATTTCCCTTCCATAAATGCACCAACAAGACTCCCTCCAATCTACCAAAAAAATAAAAAAAAAACACTCAGAGTATGGGATAGTACATGGACTCGATCCACATTCTCAAAAAAATTGCTCTCAATTTTAGACTAAATAGCCCTCCAGTTATCAATTATGAACAAGAAAGATCTGTGCATTCCTCCTATATATACATATACACAAATGAACTTTTGCTCAAATATGACAGCACATATAAGAAACTACCCCTTTTAGAGAAGATGAAATAGGCTAGGACCCAATAGAAGCCAGCATCGAACCACAGACTCAACAACAATGAACTCATGCAGGCATGAAAACCGATAATAGAATATAAACTGTCATATATACATCACTGTATAATCAAGTATTTGGTTGAATACCTCTGGTTCGCATGTAGGTTAGAAATTGAGAAGGTAATTCTGCTAAAAGCGATTGAACAACAGAGAACTCCCCACCTGCACGTCAAAAAGAAAAGACACTTATCGGTCATAAAATCAGTTGTTTAAAGTCTTTTCGACTATTGAGTTAATTTGTCGGATTAGTAGGGTTTGACTTACTCTGCACATCTCGCATTGGAACAAACTGGACTATATCGCGTGATGCCACACGTCCATTTGAACTTTCAAGTCTCTCACCTTTGTCCGCATCCAAAATCTGGACAACAATTGTCAAATTGTAGTGACTTCAAGAGTCAATAGTCAAGAATTGAGACCTTCGGATATAGACAGTAGGCTCAAATTATGCATGACAACTCAACAATAAGACATAGGCAGAACAGAACACCTTTTTCCAAGTAATGGAAATAAAAGTGAGATAGATACCTCCATCTCTTTAAAGTCTGCTCCTCCAACTCCAACAATAAGGATTGACAATGGTAGGTCTGAAGCCTTCACAAGGGCATCTTTTGTTTCTTGGAGATCTGTTATAACTCCATCCTGAGACAGTTTGCTGTACAAAGTGAGATTTGAAAAATAATATATATATATATATATATATATATGTATATGGCATAAAACACGTTCCCAATGTGTCCCCAATGTGTCCAAGTGTGTTCCCAGTGTGTCCGATTAAAAAAACAAAAAAGATACTTCCTCCGGTATTTTCAACATGTGTCTGTTGAACACCAGTACTTTTTTTGTCATTTTTTTCATAGTTCCCAATCCCTATTTTTGGTATAAGCATTTGAAATCAGCTTACCGTTATTATTAACAGAACAAAGTACTTTAGTTCATCATTTGCAAGAGACTGGCCAGCTATCTGTGCAGCAATGCTAATCACAGGTCCAAAAAGCGTTGGCCCAGCAAGTGAAACATTAAACAGGGCACCTGTATACGCCGTCATAATTCCTTGGACTCCTTCAACCTGAGAGAAAAAGAAACAAATAGCTTAACACAATGGATAATTGTGAAGAAACAGTAATTCTCAAGATACACTAATGAAGGTGAGTTAAGACTACTGTCAAATTTAGTGAAAAATTTAACCTCACAGTAAGTGCTGCTTCCATTTAAGTTGAAACAATGAGAGACTGGACCATCGATTGGCCGGGCTCCAAAACCCCACGCAGGAAAGCTCTTGTCTGAATTGTAAAACTGCAACACCTCTCCAACCTCTAAGATTGCCTGAAATTAATGGATCACGATTATATAACATCCATTAAGCAGATAAGAAGAGAATCACAATTAAATAGTTCCTCTCAACATAGAACAAATTAGTCATAGAGAAGACCAGGTTCTTACTCTCTGGTATGCATTTGGCCGTCCAGAAGGGTCGATATAATGCAAGGAATCAGGAAGGCGGGGATTTCCATTTGAAGCTGATAAAAAGCAATGGAATTTAGTATTTAAGAATAGACATCCAATAATACTTGGTGAATTTTGTGGGATGAAAAACACACAAAAGGGTTGACAAAAAGGAAAAATGAGAAAATTAATAAAAATAAATGGCTAGTGCTGTTTAAGGGTATCAATTTTCATTATCTTGGATTAATCATAACTAAGGTGAGGCTAAATAGGAAAATGTGTATATAATCAGTAGGTTAATATACAGATTGGCAAACTGCCCCTATAATGCTCACATGCCCTGAAATTAGAAACAGAACTTCCTAACGTAAGGATATTTATGCATTAATGTAGTATTGGGAAGATCAAGAAACGAAAAACTGATAAGATGTGCATAACTGCGAATTTTAAGATAATTAAGGGGCAAGTCAAGAATCAATTAACATTTAAACAAGTGCAACTTGTGAGAGATTTAAAGTGAAATGAGGAGACAAAGTCCATTGAGGTCTTTACAGTATGGTGAAAATAAGCAGTGCAATTAATGCCTATCAACCTAACCTATCAAGGCAGAAGAAGTAATATTTTTGCCATGAACCCTAGTCAATGCCAGGAATCTACCAATCCATCCAATAGGCTTTGTCAAACCAAAACATGAATTATTAAACATTACGGGTGTGTTTGGTAACGTTTACGTTTTCAGTTTATATTTACAAAAATTTTATAAATCGGTTTTTGTTTATTTTTTGTTTATTTTTAGAAAAACATAAACTACAAACGCGTTTGGTAATTGACAAAATGTTTAAAAAATTTTAAAAATATAAAAAAGAGTGAGAAATGACAAGTGGTGGCAAGTGGCGGCGGAAGACAGTGGTGGAAAGTGGTGACGGTGGGTGGTGGGTTGCTGGTGGTGGCTGACGGTAGCAGGTGGGTGGGTGATGGTGGCGGGTGGTAGCGAGTGGGTGGTGGTGGTGGTGGTGGCCGGTGGTGGGTGGTGGTGGCAGGTGGATGGTGAGTGGTGGTGGCAGGTGGTGGGGGCAGGTGGGTGGTGGGTGGTGAGTGGTGGTGGCAGGTGGTGGTAGGGAGTGGGGGGTGGTAGCAGAAGACGGTAGTGGAAAATGGTGGCAGGAGGTGGCTAGTGTTGGGTGGAAAAAAAAAAAAAAAAAAACTGAAAACCCAAAATGGAAACACATTTTTTGTGTTTTCATTTTTTGGCCAAATTTATAAACTGAGACCACTGATTTATAAATCAAAAATTTTACCAAACAAGTTTTTATTTGAGTTTTTTAAATTTTTGTAAATATAAACAGAAAACTGAAAACGTAAAACGACACTCTCAAACTAAGAAGTATGGATACAAACGCAGACACAGGTTACGACAATTTTTAAAAAACTAGGATATAGATTTGGCGGAGATACGGAAAAAATTTATTTTTTATATATTTTTATTTGTTATGTATATGAATATAAAAATAGAATAGTGATATTAGAGGCATCAATGTATATGTGGGTGTTTTTTGTTTTTTAATTTTTCACTTTTCTCCGTCTTTTTTTCATATATTTTACTTTGATACCAAATCAACTTTTTAAAATTATAAATTTAAAAAATTAAAAAAAAAAACTCATGAAGGTATCCTGAAGCATGTCCAAACAAAGGATACGCATGTCTGTGAAGTGTCCCTAAAGTGTCCTGCAAAAGAATAATAATAAAAAAAATTGACAACTAAATAGACACACACACATGTCCCATACTTGTCTGACACAAACATGGCACCCATTTTGAAATGTTGGTGTGTCATAGCTCTCAAATTTAGTCATGATTATAGACACCAAATTTTGGTCCATGGGATATTGTTCTAGTATGGCAACAGAAATCATCCGACACAAATCAACACATAGTTTTTTTTTAGAGGGTAACAGATACATAGTTAAGGGGGCCGAAATTGTGTCCATGACTACCTGTGAAATCAATGGCGACCATGAAATTCAGTTCACATCCACCAGACAAGTAATCCAGGAATGAATGTTGGACACTCTCAGAAAACTTGTCCACAAATAGCTGACTCTTTAAGACCTGTATCAGAGATTTAGAAAAGTTAATTAAATGCAAAGACTTGAAACATTTTTATGAAAATCCACCTAGCTCAAATTGTTAGGACCTTATTTTGATGAGTATGCCCAACGGCAGTTGGTAAGAATAAATGTTCCCCATGCCCAACAGAACAAAGCTTTTCTAAGTCTGCTAGTGATTTCTGAACCTTTCTGAATAATACAAAACAAACAAGCAAAATCAGAATCAGTACCAGCCTATAAGGGACAAGAAAAGAGAGACAGAAAAAAAAAAAAAAAAAAAAAAAAAAGGTGTTTATTTACCCAAGTAAGTCATGTCTGCCATTGCTGTTGAAGTTAAAACACTCTATAATTAATGGACTGTCCTGCATAAAGTAAGCAAGAGATCATTGGTGGAATAGCTAGCATTAAACAAATGATGAAGAGCAGCCAATTCCAAAAAACTATTCAACATCCATATTAAAAAACATACTCTCCCCAATGTAAAGCAGATTAGGGTCAATCTGGAGAATTCATTGTTTAATTGCAATGCTTCCTGATTGACCAACACGTATAAAGAATAGCAAGACTTTTTTCTACTCATGAGTGCAAACTTAACAGAGTGATAAGTTAAACATAGTAGACAGGTAATATATCCTACTAAGTTGTATGGCATTAAACTTGAAAGAACAATTGAAGTTTGGGGTTTAACATAAATAATAAAAGCATGCCCAATATTTGCAAAAGGAAGGATGTCAAAAGTAGAGAACAGCAAAATTCCTCAAGTAAATGCAAGAGAGTCTCGCCCCAAAGGAAAACTTCGTTTTACCTTGCTTCCAACCTGTTGAATATTAAGAAATACCGATTTCCATACTGGATACAGATCATTTTTCAAAACCTCAGTTTTGCAAATTGGAATAGAGATCCCACTCTCCACAATTTTCGAGATTACCAGAAAAGGGTCCTGCAAGAAGCACCAACATACATCCAATATTTTTTTTAGTATCCAACAACCAAAAAGAGAAAAAACAAATAAAGAGGAGTGGTAGAAATATTAGCAGGTCCATACACTTTTTGAGAACATATTCCTAGATTCCAAATCTGAACACCTCAATATCAACTCTGTCGTAGTCTTTGAGTTGACCAATTCTTCAGCATGAACAGTGAGTGCACCCAAATTTCTGGGACGATTTGATCCAACAGATACATTTTTACATACAAGATCTAAGGTCACTGACCTGTTTGATTTGGTGACTATCTACACAGAAAGGAAAGGAAAGGAAATTTTATGAGTAAAAGTTAAAGCTCCAACTTTCAATAGAATATGTTGGATACCCAGTTGAGGTGAAAGCAAGGAATAAATATTTATAAAGAGAACATATCACAACTTTGAAAACGAGGACATATCAACTGATATATCCCAAAATATCAATACTGACTCTGATAAAATATTGTAAACTATTGTGGATAATATTGATGTATCAAGGTCTTGAAAATATGGATATATTGATAGATAAAAAACAACGCCCAATTAGTACACATTAATGTGTGTTTGGGAGGGGAAAGATTCGGTATACACCTAACCTTCGGCATAGTGTACAAAGTGGTTGCCCCATGACTTGAACCCATAGCCTCAAAGTTTTAGCATTGAACCAAGGTTATTAGCCTCAAGGATATATTGATAGATATGTAACAAATATTGCAGACATTTTATTCCATGGGTGAAAATCTTTTACGATATATAGACTATTTTTCCGACTACTGACTATGTCAGCTTGTGAAAGACGGAAAATTTCAGCCCGAATCCTACATATGGATATAAAAATGGTCAAATTGGTGGAAAATAAAATAAAGAAATGGAAGAAGACAGCTAAATGCTTATCACATCAGAAAGAGTGATGACCTCTACAGTATATGCTGAACTATACTGACAAATAGGCTACCACAACCAAACCCTCACCCACCACCACAACAAAAAAACAAGATCACAACCATAAGATGTCATATATAGAACAAAATTTAAAACCATAAGGTGTAGCACCCTTGTTGATCAATAACATCAAGATCAAAATTAATACTAGATATCTATAGATCATACACCATCTGTACATGACACAAAATAAGTTTGAAAAAAAAAAAAAAAAAGCAAGACACAGCCTGCCTATCACATGAACAATAGACAAATCAAGTGCCACAATAGCCTAATGACCATAACCCCCCTATCACGTCTATCAAGCATGAGGCCGTGTATGTAGGTGCATGTGGACTGGTAGTTGAATAGGGTGAAGGGTGTTATAGTTCAAGGAGTGAAAGGAACGTATTCTATACCTCAGACAAGGCACAAGTAGCCTCACCAAGAAATTGCTGCTCATCCAGTTTAAGCATCTGCTTAAGTGAAAATCATAAATTAATTGAATGATTTGTATTTTGTAGCTTGCAAGCACTTAAATGAAATAAAAAAATAAAAAATAAAAAAATTATCCAGATTCCAGATCAAATGCACACAAGGAATCGTCTGATAAGTGAGATACCTAGCACATCCTATTATAATCAGTATACATGAAAGTTGAAAGCAAGACAAACAAAAGCAAAATTACGCCCTACACTTCCAAGTGTTAAGTCAACATGGCCCAGAGCCTTTATTTTAAAAAGAGGGTACAAGCAAAATATACATGAAACACTCTATTAAAGAAAATGGGACCATTTTATATTTTAAATATGCATCATCCCCATAAACAATTCCATTTTACTAAATTTTCTTATGGAAAATTTAGTCCTAGCACATCTAGCAATTCCATCATGTGGAAGTTGCATTCCTTGTAACATTAATTCAAGTTGGCTTGCAGACTTAGCCTAGATAGTGGAATCGCCACCCATATCTTTGAATTTGATGACTCCCTGAAACATCCTTAACCAGAAAAACATAAGCATGACTTTCAAGTAATTGAACAAGCTATAACAGTAAAAGAATAAATAAATAGTGTATTCATGAGAAGTTTGAGGTAGCATCAATTGGGAATAGGACCAAAGAAAATTGGATTAGATAATTAGGCCACGGAATATCTAAGTGTACACACTAGCAAGTACAAGTAACCTGATACCAGTTGGAGCTATAATATTTCACCAATTATGGATGGAAAGAAACAATTATTTCTACATCCAAATGAAAACAATCGTCTATTGTTTAACACATCTCAGTAACAAATTCAACAACTGTTTATAGAATTATATACACTCAAGTCAAGCTAGAAATAAATTAAATGTTCAAATCTCCATGTAAAAATTTTGAGAAGATACCATCATAATTATACCTTTACATCTACATTGTCAAACTGAGTGTCAACATCATACACACGAAACCTGCAATAGAAGGTAATTTCTCAAGGTAAATGAAAATCAGGACATGAGTATTCACTTAGTTAAGAGCTGATATGGAAGCAGACATAAGTATTCACTGAAACGTACACCAAAGTCTGCACCACCTCAAAATAATATGTAACGGTATGCTTTCTGATCCACTTGGGATTCAATGAATTTAACACTACTTCGGTACGGCCAAGCTCTTGAAGCGCACCATCTCTTCCTTTTGTGTAAACAACCGCCATAGGATCACTCTGAAAAAAGGAAGAAAGGAAAAATAGCCTGATAAGTTGGCAGTGTCCTTTTCTACAGCAGCAATAGGAATGATATAACTAAAAGTGAAACATTATTTCAGATTAAGAAAATAAATTTTCAATAGTTGAAGGAGCCTAAAGATATGGAACTTGTAAGAAAGTTGAAAGAAAAAACTGAGTTTCTAGTAAAAGATATGATGACATGACAAAATTTTTTAAAAAATAAAAAAGCATAACCACAGGTTTCTATGCAGAAAGACAACCTAGTAAGTTCCCAAAATTTACCTATTATTAGAGCTGTTTCTTTATTTATACATTTTTTTCTCATATGAACCCCCAATTCTCATTGTATTAAGATGAAAACAATAATAAATAGGGCAAATTTTATTTTACCCGCTTGTGGTATGACCCAATAGCACTTGCCCCCTTGTCTTTTAAAAATAGCCACATGCCTCCCATATGATTTTGGACTAAAATGCTACAGTAACATTTTCCATCCAAACTAACGGGAGTGTCTCACATGCCTATTTTGAAAATGGAGAAGGAAAAAAAATTAGTCAAAGTTAAATTTCAATGTAAGAATACCAAACTAGCCTTGTTTTACCTTTCTTTATCTAAATTTCTTATTTAATAACATTTTACATTAAATATACATATTATATACATACATATAACAAATTAAATTAACATAAATACCTTAATTTATTATTAGAAAAATTAATCATCAAACTACTTTAATCTAATTTTTAATTTTTAACCCAATTTTTTATTTAATAACATTTTACAATAAACATAAACATACATATATATATATATATATATAACAAGTTAAATCATAAATTAAACTAAACACCCTAGATTATTACCATAAAATTACCTTATTTAATAACATTTTAAATTAAACATATACATATATATATCAAATTAAATCATAAATTAACCTAAATAACTTAATTTATTACCATAAAATCTTAATCTAATTTTTAATTTTTAACCCAATTTATTATTTAATAACATTTTAAACTAAACATGTACATATATATTTGTTGGAAATGGGAAGAAAATAATTCTGCCTTGGATATGATTGAATTTTTTTGGGATACCACAGTTGTAAATGTTTAGATTTAGTCAATACTATAGAATAGGAAAGTTTATATTTAGAATCAGAATTAGTAGCTAATCAGTCCTCAGAATCAGTAGCTAATTAGTAGCTAATTAGTTCCTAATTTTAGGTCTTGTATCTCCTACAAATAGAGGTGATGTGTACAATATTTAAATATGAGAATAAGAAATATTATTCTTTCTAGCTTTAATGGTATCAGAGCTAGGGACTTATTCTGTGACCCTTTTGAACTAATCCTAGAACCTGTTAGCTATCCTTCACCATGTCAGAAACCACATCCGAATCCACTGTTACTGTTTCACCGAAAAACATTGAGAAACATGCCTTCAACACTAATTCTCACTCGGTGCAAATCACCAGCATTAAACTCAATGGTGATAATTTCCTTCGTTGGTCTCAATCCATCCGGATGTATATTCGGGGCTGAGGAAAGATCGGATACTTGACAGGAGAGAAGAAGGCACCAACAAAAGAGGACTCGTCATATACTACCTGGGATGCTAAAAACTCCATGGTCATAGCATGGTTAGTGAATTCCATAGAAGAAGACATCAGCTCCAACTATATGTGTTATCCAACAGCCAAAGAACTCTGGGATAATATCACCCAGATGTATTTGGATTTGAGAAATCAGTCCCAAATATATGAGTTGACAATTAAACTTGGTGAAATTCGTCAAGGAGAGGACAGTGTCACTAAGTACTTTAATTCTCTGAAAAGGTTATGACAAGATTTGGACATGTTCAATGATTATGAGTGGAAGTCAACCGAGGACTGCAATCACAACAGAAAGATGGTGGAGGATCACTGTATCTACAAATTCCTTGCCGGCTTAAACATCGAATTTGATGAAGTTAGTGGGAGAATAATTGGCCGCCAACCTTTGCCTCCTATTGGTGATGTCTTTGCTGAAGTTAGGAGAGAAGAAAGCCGTAGGAATGTGATGCTAGGGAAAAAGGGAGCTATTGCACCTGTGGAAAACTCAGCCATGATTGCATCAGATGCAAGTGCAAACAAGGTTTTTAAACCACGGCAAAATGAAAAATCTCGAGTATGGTGTGATTATTGCAATAAACCACGTCATACTTGGGAAAACTGCTGGAAGATCCATGGGAAGCCTGCAACTTGGAAGAGTAGCAAATCAAGTGACTAACCAATTCATGCATCCTCCTATGCCAACAAGGTTGAAGCAAGTCTACTCACTAAGGAGCAGATGGATCACTTCTTAAACTGCTAAAATTCAATTCTTTATCCAGCAGTAGCAATCCTTATGCTCTATCTTGTAGTCAAAATTCTGTCCCTTGGATCATTGATTCGGGGCATCTGATCACGTGACTTCTTTCTCTTCTTTATTCAATACTTATTTATTTTGTTCTGAAAGTGAAAGAGTTAGGATTGCTGATGGTAGTTTCTCACCCATTATAGGAAAAGGTCAAATGAAAACTTCAGAAAATATTACTCTTCACTCTGTCCTTCATCTTCCTAAACTGGCCTGCAATTTATTGTCTGTCAGTAAATTATCCAAAAACTCTCACTGTCTTCTTGTTTTCTTTGACTCTCATCGTGAATTTCAGGACCGAAACTCGGGGAGGATGATTGGCAGTGCTAGAATGGTCAATGGTCTTTACTACTTTGATGATGACATATCCAGCAATAAAACAACTCAAGACTATGGTTGTAGTATTAGTTCAATTTCGACACGCAAGCAAATAATGCTTTGGCATTTTAGAGTAGGACATCCCAGTTTTTCATATCTTAAACATTTATTTCCTAACTTGTTTAAAGATTTGGATTGTTCGTCTTTTCAATGTGAAAGTTGTTTTTTATCTAAAAGCCATCGAACTACTTATCTTACAAAACCCTACTGTGCCTCTAAACCATTCTACTTAATTCACAGTGATGTGTGGGATCCCTCCAAGGTTACCACCATGACTCTTGTAAAGTGGTTTGTAACTTTTATAGATGATCACACTCGGCTTTGCTGGGTTTATTTGATGAAAGACAAATCTGAAGTAAAAAACGTGTTTCAAAATTTTTACAAAATGGTTGACAATCAATTTCATTCAAAAATTAGTATTTTTCAATCTGATAATGGAAAAGAAAACTTCAATGAATATCTAGGGAATTTTTTAAGGGAAAAAGGTATTTTTCATCAATCTACATGTCGTGACACTCCTCAACAAAATGGTATTGCCGAAAGAAAAAATAAACATTTACTAGAAGTAGCCCGAGCCATAATGTTCTCTATGTATGTTCCCAAATATCTATGGGGATATGCCATTTTGACAGCCTCTTATTTAATTAGTAGAATGCCTACCCGGGTTTTGCAATATGTCACACCCCTAGAATATTTCCAAAAAACCTTTCCTGATTGCAGAATTAATTCAGATCTGCCTTTAAAAAATTTTGGTTGTACTGTTTTCGTTCACATACCCAGCCAATTTCGATCCAAACTTGATCCTAGAGCAGAAAAATGTGTTTTCATCGGGTATGCTCCAAACATAAGAGGCTACAAGTGCTATAATCCTCAAACAAAAAAAAATTCGGGTGAGTATGGATGTCTCCTTTCTTTAAACTCAATCCTATTTTACCAAAAATTCTCTTCAGGGGGAGAAAGAGAGAAAGGAACAAAATTTTTGGCAGACAACTTCGGATCCCTTATCAAATCCTATTCTCTCATCTCCATCCCTTGTTTTTGAAAAACAAGCACAAAAACAGGGTGTTCAAGATATGGAGAATGAAGGAAATCCCAAACCAACTTCTCCAACATAGAAGGCTCACAAGCAGGGGGAGAAATACTACAATTGGAACAAACTGTTCCCGAACTTGAGTTTTTGGTTTATGCTCGAAAAAATACTCAAAGAAAAAGTAAAGACCAGCCAACCACTCTGCCACAAATCCAAGCAAAATCTCTTAAAAAAGGTCCCTCAAGTAGTTCAGGTAATCCTAATCTAGTTCCTCCTTCGTCTGTCTCTACTTCATCTCCATTTCCTTCAGCAGTTTTACCTAATGCTATACCCACAGATTGTGATTTTCCTATAGCCATTAGGAAAGGAGTTCGAAAATGTACCCAACCTTCCATTGCGAAATATTTATCCTATGATAAACTTTCCAATAGTCATAGAGCATTTACTTTAAAAATATCTAACCTGTTTGTTCCTAGAATTATTAAGAAAGCCTTGGATGATTCTAATTGGAAATCAGCAGTTATGGAAGAGATGAATGCTCTGGAAAAGAACCGTACTTGGAAGTTAGTGAATCTGCCTAAGGACAAAAAGACAGTAGGGTGCAAATGGGTATTTACAGTGAAGTGCAAAGCTAATGGTAGCGTGGAAAGATATAAGGCAAGACTCGTGTCAAAAGGGTTTACACAAACCCTCGGGATTGACTACCAAGAAACCTTTGCTCTAGCTACCAAGATGAACTCAATTCAGGTTTTACTGTCACTAGCGGTTAATTACAACTAGCCTCTACATCAATTAGATGTAAAAAATGCCTTCTTAAATGGAAATCTAGAAAAAAAAGTCTATATGAACCTACATCCAGGTTTTGAGAAGAAGTTTGGTATAGATAAAGTTTGCAAATTAAACAAGTCTCTATACGGCCTCAAACCAAACAATCCCCAAGGGCGTGGTTTGAACGCTTTGGAAAGGTTGTAAAAAACCTTGGATACATTCAAAGTCAAGCAGACCATACTATGTTCTATAAACACTTCAGAGAAGGTAAAGTAGCTATCTTAATTGTTTATGTAGATGACATAATTCTAACATGTAATAACAGTGCCGAATTGGAAAAGTTAAAGAAGGGACTTGCTAAAGATTTCGAGATAAAGGACCTGGGAGCACTAAAATACTCTCTTGGAATGGAGTTCGCTAGATCTAAGGAGGACATTTTTTGTCACTCAGAGCATGCACACACTTGACTTGCTCAAAGAAACAAGCTTGCTTGGATGTAAAACTGTTGAAACACCAACCAAGCCCAACTTGAAGCTACAGCATGCTAGAATTGAAGACGTGGTGAATATAGACCAGTTTCAAAGACTTGTTGGAAGACTGATCTACTTATCTCATACACGTCCCGACATAGCATTCACAGTAAGCAGAGTAAGCCAATTCATGCATTCACCAAGACAGGAGCACTTTGAACCAGCATACAGGATCCTAAGGTATCTAAAAGGAACTCCTGGTAAAGGTTTGATATTTAAAAAACAAGGACATCTTCAAGTGGAAGTATATACAGATGCGGATTGGGGTGGAATCATCACTGACCGGAAATCTACCTCAGGCTATTGTACCTTTGTTGGAGGAAATTTGGTTACTTGGCAGAGTAAAAAACAGAACGTAGTGGCTAAAAGTAGTGCTGAAGCTAAATTTAGATCAGTGGCTCATGGAATTTGTGAAG